GAAACGAGGGACCTTGGGAGAGATCGAGGCTTCTGCTGTACGGTTTTAAGCCCTGCCTGGGCCTCATGGGGCGCCGTCGTGGCCGGTTTTTTCTCTGGTGCCCGTTCCGCGCCTGGTGGTCTATCAAAAGACGATCTGGGACGACACAAGACGGTTCTCGGGGCGATATCGAAAGGTTTTGGGACCCGCGTCCCGAACGTGTGCGACGTTGGATGCTCTGGTCCCAGGCATCCGCCCAGAGGGAGGGAGGTGGAGGACGTGGAGGCGGCGGGGATGGAAGAGGAGGCGCAGAAGCAGGAGAGGCGTGTGCAGAGGAAAAGGAGGGTAGGGGACGAGGAAGAGGTGAAGAAGCAGCAGCAGCAGCAGCAGCAGCAGCAGCAGCAGCTGGAGGACGCCCTCCCGCGTATCCCCTCCCTGCCATCCTCGCTCGTTCGCCCTCTCAACTATATTCACTCCCCTCCTTCCGTCCCTCCCTCGCAACATCGCTCGCATCAACCCTTCCTCTCTCCCGCGATCACCCCCTCGCTTCCTGCCCTTTACCTCCTTTATCTTCTCCCCACCCCCCATCCCGATCCCAGCAGAGCCCCCGTGAAGGGCCCAACCGTGGACCCGCAATCCTCATCCATCATCCCCCCAGCACCGGGTCCAGGAGGGAGGGGGGAGGGAGGAGGAGGAGGAGGAGGAAAAGGAGGAGGAGGAAAAGGAGGAGGCGGAGGAGGAGGAGCAGCAGGATGAGAACAGGGGAGGAGGAGGAGGAGGAGGAGGAGGAGGAGGAGGAGGAGGAGGAGGAGGAGGAAGAGAGGAGGAGGAGGAGGAGGAGGAGGAGGAGGCGGAGGAGGAGGAGGAGGAGGAGGAGGAGGAGGAGGAGGAGGTCGTCCTCCCTTTCTCACCCTGGTCCGCGTCCTCATCCTTCTAGCGCCCTCCGCACCCGCCGCGATGGCCTCGAGAGCGGCAGAAAATGGGAGGGGTTGGAGGAGGAGGCAGTCCGAGGAAGAGGAGGACGAGGACGAGGACGAAGAGGAGGAGGAGGATGAGGAGGGGGAGAAGGAGGAAGAGGAGGAGGAGAAGAAGGAAGGCGATTTGGAGGTTGAAGATGATGGGGAGGACGATGGGGGGAACGAGGAGGAGGAGGAGGAGGAGGAGAAGGAGGAGGAGGAGGCGGTTGAAAAGTTGAGGTTGAGGAAGAGGAGGAGGTGGAGGAGAAGCAGGAGGAGGAGGAGGAGGAGGAGGAGGAGGAGAGGAGGACGAGGAGGATAAGAACAACGAGGATGAGAGGGGTGGTGAGGCAGGGGAGTAGCGGAGGAGCAGAAGGAGAAGGAGGACGTGGATAAGTTAGATGGGGAGAGGAAGAGGAAGAGGAGGAGGAGGAGGTGGCCGGATATAGAAGAGGTGGAAGAAGAGGACGGCGACAGCGACGATTGGGGGTGGGAGGATGGAGAAGCATGACCCGTGCCCAGAGATTGCGTGCCACGGGAGGTTTCCTCCAGCCTGCGACATGGAGGGCATCTGCCGCGTTCTGAGGCAGGCCCTTGCAGAGGTGTACGCGTGAGGGGCCAGCCCACTCGAACATCGTGACGGCATGCTTTTCTTGTTTCGCGGGTCGTTGAACGTATGTTTGCTGACCCCCCTGATCTCGATCTGCTTCAAGCGGCTTCCGATTTCAAGGATCGATCTGTCTGGGTTGTGGTGTGCTGTTCTCCGGGCGGGCCCGTCCCCGATCTACTACATCTGCCTTCCCAGGGCTTTGCCCTCTCTCGGCCTTGACGTGAGGCGCCGCCTTCTTTTGCCCCCCCCTTTGCTAATGAAAGCTGTGCGCGGCCCGCTTAGCTTCTATCGGAAGAGGCTCGCTCTCGACCCGCAGATCAAAAAAGCTTCTTCCGACGGGCGGGTCGTTTGGGCATCTGTGCGCCCGCCGTGTCGGGCTCCAGGGCGGTCAAGAGCTTGCCAGGGGGCAAGAGAGAGTTCGGGTTCGGGGTCAGGTCGGGAAGGTCCCTTTGCAGGAGGAGTGTTCAGAAGCAGTCAAAACATATTGTGGGGGCGACTGTATTTGTACAACCATTTCTGCTGTTCTGTATCATGTTACATTTGTCTTGGATATCTGCCTGTAGGAGGACATGCCCGACCTAAGATTGGGGTCGAGGTGCATGCGTGCCCCTGTCACGAAACACCCGCGACGTCGGCTGTCTGGGCCGTCGTGCAGTTTTGATCCGAAGGGGACTCGTCCTAGTAGCCTCAGAGGAAGGAATCATGCCCACCACCCTTCCTGTAGGAGGGGCAGAGGGGGGGGGGGGGGGGCGGGGGCAGGGCTCGAGCCACTAAACGGTGTTTCTGGCAACATCGTGGACCGTCTTTGTTCTGACTTCGTTATGCAGCATAGGCGGGGCGAAGGCAGAACGAGTCGAGGGGGAGCGAACACAAGACACAAGACGAAAGCGGAAGCCACTGTTTAGGTCGAGCTCTGGAGGGGGGCCCAGGGGCGCTGGTAGTGCACATGCCGTTAGCTGCTCTCTCGCGGGGCATCCTTCCGGTTCTCCTCGCGGTGTGAAAACAAATCACGACGGGACCTTTTTTGCTACTTTCTGCCTTTGGGGGCCCCTTTCACGGTCCTCGGGGCCGCCAGGAGGCGATACGGGAGGCGATCGCTCGAAGGCAGTCCTCGGCGGCGTCAGGAGGCAGTCCTCGGAGGCGTCAGGAGGCGCTCGCTCGAAGCCGAATGATATTTGGCGTCGAGCGATCCCCACCGAAACCTGCGGCGTCTGCTCCCGAGGGTGCGCGCGCTCTCGTGGGAGCGGTGTGCACAGGGGCGCCGTGGTCTCGGCCCGTGTCGTGCTGGGCTGTGTTCTGCTCCGTTATGGTACGTGTGCTCCGATCTGTCACAGCAGTCGCTGTTATGCTGTGTTGTGTCATGGCATGGTACGGGAGAAGGAAACAATTACTGAACACCCGGTCATAATGGTCTCGCAGAAATCCTTACCCGCAGAAGAATATGATTTTCTTTCCACGAATGATACGAGTAATATGTGACACAGAAGGAGTTATGGGACGAGTGATACGAGTAATACGCGACAAGTAAGGCGCGGGACGACTCGTGCGCCAGAACACTAAAAAGGGGGATCGATACATACATATGTACATATATATATATATGTTTATATATATGCGTGTATATACATATATATATATATACGTATAGCATAAGGGTATCGCAGAAATCCTTACCCGCAGAATCGCTCGGCCAACTCGCAAATGACGGGGTAAACTAAAAGATGAGACGGTGGAGGGAAACAATTACTGAACACCCCCCCTCCCCCCAAAGCTCAATGTTGGCACGCGTGGAGGAGTCTGCGGTCGAAGTGCGCGTCATCAGGCACACCGCCAATTTGAACATTGGGGGGAGAGGGAGGCGTTGACAGATGAATGTGGCACGAGTGCTCGCTAATTTGTTCCGAGGCCCGTATTGCATGTTATGTGGTGATGTGACATGTTATGGTTTGGTTTGTTCAGTTCTGCATAGATTTGATACGGTGGGGGCATTCGATAAGGAGCGTGCCCAGCGGGTTCAGACCCTGGAGGGTTCCTTATCTGATGAGGGCGGCGGTGATATCTATGGCCAATCCACGATTGGAGTTCCACCAGCCTCCAGACCCTGGATTCCTTATCTAAGGGCTCCTTATCCAATGCCCCCACAGTAGCCGTTTCGGCGCGAGCTGATCTACCTGAGCTGGCGACAGCTCGCGTTTGTGCTCACTTACTTCGAAGCGGCGTAGTGGGCACGAGCCAACCTACGACGACGGCTCCTCCCGCGGCAGCCCGCGGGCCATGGCGCCGCCACATCTCGACCCTGCTGGCATCATCCCAGGCGCGAAGCAGACGCCCCTCTGGTCCTGCTCCTGCGGCTGTGATGGGAACTGGGCGTCCAGGACCCGCTGCCGCCAGTGCTGGAAGGCGGCTTCCACCAAGGTGGTACAGGCAGCCAAGCGCTCGGCAGCAGCAGCAGAAGGGCCAGCACCCAGCACGTCCCGCCCGCGCGGGGCCTGGGCGCAAGGGCCGCCAGGTCAGGGTCAGCTTCTGGAGCAGCTGCAGAGGCTGCAGAAGCAGGTGGCCGAGCTCAAGGGCGAGTCCCCGCCGCAGTCGAAGCCCTGGAAGGAGCGCAAGCCCCCGCCCAGGAAGGCTGCTGCGGAGAGTTCTGGCATCTCCCACAAGGACGTGGTCACCTTCTTGGCGAAGGAGGGGCTCGACACCAGCGCGGTGGAGGCAGCTGAGAAGGCGGCGGAGTCGAAGACGCTCGAGAGCAAGCAGCCCTCGGCTCAGACTCAGCGCTGGCGGGTCAAAGCCCTGCGGGACAAGATCAAGAAGCTCGAGTCCCGCGAGGCCGCCATCCTGGAGCAGCAGGCTGCGCTCGACAAGGGGCTCCAGGAGCTCAAGGTCTCGATCGAAGAAGAGAACCAGAAGCTCACCGAGGGCGAGGCCAAGCTGGTCAAGCTCCAGGCCAGCGAGTTCCCTGACCCGATCCAGGTGGTCGCAGCGGGATTGGACGAGGACGTTGCAGCCAGCCAGGAGGCCAAGGACGCCCTCGCGGTCCTCGCCCGCTTGCAGACCGCTGCCAGCGACAGCAAGAAGGCAGCGGCCGCTGCCAGGGATGCTGCTGCTCCTTCTGGGGCTGCTGCTGGGGCGGCAGACGCAGGCGGCGAGCACGCACCTGTGCCTGAATCAGACGACATTGACATGGAGCTGCTGGGAGGAGAAGGCTGGGAGGCGAAGCACGAGGAGTATGCCGCAGCCTCAACATCTCTCCGAGAAGCGGCCCCCGAGCAGCGAGAGGAGGCGAAGCGCAAGCTGCGCGACGCCCTCGACGCGCTCTGGGCTGCAGGCAAGCGGCCGCGGCGCCTTTGAGCCCAGGTCCTATGGGTGCCTGGAGGAGCAGAGAGGCCAGGGGCCTGGCAGCCCGCAGTCCAGCCGAGGGCCCATATGCAAAGGCGGGTTGCTCGTTCATGTTGGAGAGGCGACGGACACGGGCGTGAGACCCGCGTCAGACCTCGTCTGCAAGGCGACGCGCCGCCCCCAGCCACGGGCTAAGGCGGCAGGCGCGGCGGCGCACGGCGCGGCCGTGGTGCTCCAGCTGGCCAGGTTGGTGCGGCCCTCGGCGAAGCAGGGCGCCAGTATCCTCAGCATCAACGGCTCCACGTGGGCGGAGTCCCAGACGGCCATCGAGATGCTGCTGGACGCGAAGGCCAGGGACGACGTGTACCTCATCCAGGAGACGCGGTTCACTTCGGCGCTAGCTGAGGGCTCTGCCCGAGCCTGGTGTAAGAGGAACAGCATCAACGCGGCCTTCGGCGAGTGCCGCAGCACAGGGGCGGCAGCGCAAGCCGTCTCTTCGGGGTCGCCGTGCTGGTCGGAGAGCACCGTGGAGCGGCCTGGATTGTCCAGACCTGGGGCCAGCACGCCTCCAGGATCATGGCGGGGCGCGTCGCCTTCGGGGACCGGGTGGTGGTGTGCGTCAGCCTGTGCCTGCAGTGCTCGATCAAGCTCAATGAAGCTAACGTGGACCTCTTGAGCGAGCTGCAGGGTTTCCTACTAGGTCTGCGCGGGCCCTTCGTTGTGGGGGGAGACTGGAACTTGGAGCCCAGCCTCCTCAGCAGCTCGTGGCGGCCACGCGCGGTGGGAGCTGTGATTGTGGCGCCCGACGAGCCGACCTGCGGTGAGAGCACGTGCGACTTCTTCGTGATCTCGGACGTCCTGGCAGGGCTGGGGCCGAAGGTGACGGTGCTCAGACAGGTGACGACGTACCCGCGCACCCCCGTCAGGCTCACCTTCGAGAAGCTGTGCAGCCAGGCAGGAGTCTGGGTGCAGAAGGGCCCCAAGCCGTTCGAGTTGCCAGGAGCGAAGCAGGAGGGGGTCCAGCCAGAACCAGAGGAAGAGGACTCCCTGACGGACTGGAAGGCGCCGCTCCTGGATGAAAGCGGGAGCCCAAACGAGGCGATCAAGGAGTTCTTCGACCAGGCCGAGGAGTGCCTGATACACCTCTTCGGCATCAAGGACGGAGCCAAGTACCGTGGCAGGGCGCAGGGGCCCAAGAGGGTGCTCAAGCAGCTCGCCCACCTCCTGCGCTCGGAGGAGGTGCGCAGAACCAGCCCGCTAACGCGATGCTGGATTACCTTGGGGCGCCTGGCCACTCAGCTGGCATCCGCGGCAGCGGTGCACCACCCCTCGCCCAGGCACCTCAAGCATGTCAAGAGATTGCAGGCGGCCGCCCTCGACTTAGTCCCCAAGTTCGAGGCAGAAGGCTGCAAGATGTTCGGCGGCGCCAAGATGTCGGCGCTGCTGGCAGAGATCGTGGACAGGTCGGAGCAGGGCAGCATGTTCCCCCAGGCCATTGGCGCCGCCTCGGAGGTCAAGCGCAGGGAGGGCGCGAAGTTGGCCAGGCAGCGCTGGAAGGACTTCATGAACGAGGCCCTCAGCGGGAATGGCAAGGGCGCTCACGCGATCAGCAAGCAGGCCAACCTCGAGACCTGCTCCATCCTCGGACCTGACGAGGGGGAGGCCCCTCCAGCCCCGCTGGTGGGGCAGCAGGCCCTGGGCAGGATCCTTGAAGAGTGGAAGGCGCTCTGGCACAAAGAGGGCTCCGCCAGCGCCCGCCCCGAGAACTGGGACGAGCCCCTGGGGCTGGACGCCATCACGGAGGAGGAGGTGCCGGCAGCAGCAAGGTCCTTTCCCAGGAAGACGGCGCTGGGATGGGGCGCCTTCCACCCCAGGCTCATCCTCAGCCTTGGCAGGGGGTACGCGGCCAGGCTGGCAGCGATCTTGACAGCCTGGGAACGGCACCCAAAGCCGTCGGAGCTGTTCACCACGATCATAGTCTTCTTGGGGAAGCCCGACGGGGGCCGCCGCCCGATCGGGCCCCTCTGCAGTTGGCTGCGCATCTGGAGCCGCATCAGGCGCAAATACTGCGCGGGCTGGGAGCGGGACCACAAGCTTCCTGAGTTCTGGGGGGCTGACCCTGACACCAGCTGCGACAGGGCGGCCTACATTCACAATCTTCTGCTCGGCCTGGCGCGCGAGAAGAACTTCGAGGCGGCGTCGGTCTACTTCGACATCAGCAAGTTCTACGAGCAGATCAACCATGGGCTGCTCCTCGACGCGGCGAGGGGCTGCGACTTCAACACGGGGCTTATACAGGCGCTGTGCGTGCTGTACTCAGGCCCCCGCAGGGCCAGGGCCGACCTTGCCCTCAGCGAGCAGCTGGTCATCGAAGACACCGTCATCGCGGGATGCTCCTGCGCGACGACGATGGCGAGGATCATGCTGTACGACCTCCTGCTGAAGTCGAGGAAGATGCTGCCAATCGGAAGGGTGGTCAATGTGATCGACGACATCTCGGGCCACGGCATCGGCACGCGCAGGCCAGTCGTTGAGCAGATCGCCAGGTTCGCGAAGGGAGTTGCCACCATGCTGGGAGACAAGCGGCTCCCCATCAACTGGAACAAGACCAAGGCACTG